TACGGGTTCCCCTCTACGAGTAATCGTGCCAAGGTGGTGGCGTCCACCACCCCTGGAAGCTCGCAAACTCGCAACCATGGGCACTCCTTTGGAGTGCCCGCCATCTCAACGATAATTTCATGCTCAACAATAATTTACTTTACATGATGATGTCTATGCCTATACTTTCAGACCTCTACACACAAAGCCTTCATCAATTTCTTCTGACCAGTCCGGACATTGCACAGCTTCTTCCAGGCATCTTTTGCCTCTTTCAGACGTTGTTTCTGTTCTGCACTTTTCACATTTTGCATTGCAAGTTGAGCACGAGGTAGGGTAGTTTCGGCCTTCTATACCTCCAACTCTTCCTTCTCTTTGACCATATGGCATGCTTGATAGGCATAAAGCTGTCCTCCTTTTTGAACTACTGTCATGATCGCTGTCTTGCTACCTGTGCCTTCTCTGCTGCCTTCATATTTGCAAGGTCACTCACAGCCTGTGCCCCAGAAATTGCTTGTATCATTCCTCCTCTTATAACTAGCTTCAGCTTTCTCTAAAATGTGAGTGATAAACGAATAGTGACAGCTTCAAGATCATCTCCCTGCCACTTTAAGGAACGAATCATGAGGGGAGTCTGCAGTAATTGAGGAGAGGATGGCGAGAGGGTAGTTGGTAGTGTTTTGGCTTCTTGAGCTTCCCGCAACTTGCCAAGAACAACCTCTGGATTGTATAGAACCAGGTCAGTCGTGCGAAAAGCAGAGCAAATTGTAGAGAGTTTGAAAGTGTGTTGTCGGATGGAGTCGATCGCGGTCAGGAATTCAACTTTATCAAAGTCTGTACATTCCGTTCGTGTTGCAGCCTCAATCGCTTCGCTATGATAATGTTTGTAGTGCTGAAAAACCACTACATCCAGTGGCTGTAATAAATGGCTTGAGTGGGGAGGCAAGCAGAAAGGGATAATTTTAAAGTTATCACAGTATTCAATAAACTCTCTTGTGTAATGTGAGCCATAACCGTCTAATAGGAGTAAACAATAGGCTCTTGTCTGTCGCTGTGCAGAAAAGTCCTGAAAGTGAGCAAGCCACTTCATACTCAAATAGTCATTTGAGTATCCTGTATTAGAGACTGATAGATAGTAATTATCTGGTATATCAGTCTCAGTATACCAGTGCTCTTGATGAATTATCCCAGAGATAATTATCATGGGTGGTAAAACATGACCATCCACGCTGATGGTTTCTCATACAGTTGTAAGCTCACTGTTTGTAGAACTCTCGAGATAGACTTGTCAGCTGGAATCTCGTGTGATTATCCACTCATCATACCCAATTCTTATTCTAAATCCGGTTTCATTGAAATTATATCAATCACCAATCTGAATACTATGTGTATTAGAGACTCGCTCGTAGCTTGAGAACCATTGCAGAATGCACTCTGGATCATGAGAACTTTTGCGGTCAATGTCAATCATATATTGTTTGCGGATATAGTACTGTGGATGACGCTCAAGAAACTGCTGAGACCAGTGTTCTCCTACCACTGGTACTGGTACAGATGAATTGCTATGTGCATCTTGTAATATTGCATTCGTGCGCCCTGTGATCATATGCAATCGGGCTGAGGTTCCAATGGCATCCAGTCGATCAAGATACTGGCAAACCTCACGCTCTTGCTCTTCCGAGAGCTTCCTGTTTGCTGCTGGCCTTTTTTCCTTTGACTCTCCCCCATTCCATCGTGCTCTCAATTATTCTGGTAGAAGATTGAACTCGCCAGCTGCAGCCACCAGATTTGGATTTTCCTCCTCCCGGCCAATCAGAACCTCAATTGCCTCCCTAATCCGAGGCTCTACTGCATCGTATGGCTCTTTCCACTCAGTCATACTTGCTGGTAGCATTGCTTGCTCATGGTGTGGGGGAAACTGGTGATTTATATCACACAATGATATCGGTTTTCGTTGAGCATGAAATTATCGTTGAGATGGTGGGCACTCCAAAGGAGTGCCCATGGTTGTGGGTTTGCGAGCTTCCAGGGGTGGTGGACGCCACCACCTTGGCACGATTACACCAGGAAAGTTATCAGGTGTGTTTCTCATCTCCGAGTTATTAGCGTACGGTCGAAGCTTTCACCCATATTTATACCGTTTATAGGAAAGGAGTAGGAAAAATGACCTTTTTTTCATGTAGTCATTCGCCATGCATATGCAACCTTTCATTGGAAACCAATTTGGGTGATCATCGCCGTCTCTGTCTGGGTTGTTGATATCCTGTCTCACGGACCGAGCCTCAAAAGCGGGGAAGCATCAGCTAGAGAAGGTATTCTTGGCAAAGACGGGTGGCGATGTATTATATGGTGGGGGGATTCCTTGACTGGAGCACTCCGGTCGCGAGAAATTCCTCAACTTCAACTTCTGAGACCCGACAACAACTTTAACCCCACTTTTCTCTATCGATAGAGAAGAACCAGGAGATTCAGCTAATTGAGAATTATTTTAAAATATTAACCCCCAGGTGAGCTACAGGGTTTTAAGATTTGGTGTACTCAATTCAATGCATATCCATACAAGATGATATTTAACCTAAATAACACTACAATTAACATGTATTACTAAGCAAAATATAGGTCGCTATTGCTTTTGGTTTAAGGATTCCCCCACCGTATTGTCGGACCTACGGATGGCTACGCTTGCCATTTACCTCCAGAGAACATGGTCTTAACATGAGGGGCATGGAGTGGTCTCCATCTTGTATCCAAGCTCGGGGGTTTCTGCCGTATCTTGAGAGGAACAACGCTCCCCCTCACTACCTTACACGAGGTCTCCCACACTATCTTACAAAATTCATGCAGCACTCTTTCTGCATACCCTTGTCGGGTAACTCCCATGTTCCCTCCCGAATCCATAAACAGCCTAGCAATGCCTTTAGGGTATAGGATTTTGAAATTGTAGAATTTGTTGTGACCATTTTGGAACACTAATGCCATGAAAGTAGGGGTTGCAGGTGAGTGAAAGAAGGATCAATTTCGCAATGTTCGGTCATTGGTTCCACTAGATTCTCTTTTCTTTTTCGATATACTAGGGGATCCTTGACTGCCGATCCATGCCGGGTGATCCTATACCCTGTTTCCTACTACAAGTACTCGGACTTGAGCTGCTAACAGTGCATGACAGGGGTACTGGTACTTCCGATTTTAGTGGAGACACCGCAGTGTCTTGTTAGATGGTATTACCACACAAGTTCCAACAATTAGATCCGGACAATTAGATCCAGCAGGCGAGCCCCACCAAGTAACCCTTCATAAGTACAGTAGGTCTCTGGGGAACGCGTGCCTGCAAAAGCCTCACTTGAAATTTTTTGATATTTTATTATAGGTATTTGGGCAGCAATTCTACCTCCCTGAATACGTTCGATTGGTACAGCTTGTGAAAGATTCGCCATGGCCTTGCCGCCCGACTCTCCCAGGGGGCACACAATGGCTGCTCCAGGTAGGTCCTCTGGCCGCGACTGATTTGAAGGATCAGCATTATTAACAGGTGCACCGAAGCTCAATCGTCGGGTGAACAGCATGGGCCACCAAGACAGCCCATCGGGCTCTCAAAACTAGACACCAATGATAAATCATTTCGATATCTAGATTTTGCAGAAGGTGGTACTAACGCCGCCCTCAACAAGTGGGGCCAACTTTTGCAGTTTAGTAGGTTAATGGTGGGTGGCGGCGATCACGATGGCTGGAATTATATTTCGGTGGAACCGCGAAATATCTTTCGACTCGAACACCTCCCAGACAACTCCTTCGTGTATCCAAGACGCGATAAATTCAATGAGCTCTGCATGGAGAATCAGGGACTCGGACTTCGGTTCTCGGATAATACCAACCTCTCAGAACCTGAGCACTACTACAGGAACGACAGATGGCCAGAGGTACGCTACACCGCTGAAGAGAAAGTCAAGGTGGTCATACAGCATTATATCCGGGATAGCGAGGTAATTCAAGATATGTACTTGACTTCGGAATCGGACCAGGAAACCGAGCTCAATCTAGAATTCGAGTTCACCACGGGAATCCGGATATCTATTGGGGACATGAGCCAACCAAAGGACGGGGAAGATGGTGCTCCCGACCATCTTCCGGAGCTAGCGCCGGGAGGAGTACCCCCGGTATCCCATTGGAAGATCTGGCGCGGCAATTATTGCGCGACGGCAGCCTTGTTCGAAAATGGTAAACCGAAGTCGTTTAGCCTCCACGGGGACGGCAAACAAAATAACATCACCAAGTCAGAAATTGGCATTCTTTCGCACGATCCACTAAGACATCGCGAGACTTTCGTATTGGAATCGAAGGGAAGGGTGAAATTTACCTCAGTATTCAAATTGGATCGCGGAAGGTTTTCCAACACCCCACCACAGTATTTCGACATATCTCCTCGATTAGTGTCATTTGATGACCGGTGGTGGAGATTCAAGATTGAATCCTCGTCATTTATTTTCAGGCGAAATCTTGAGACTATCCTCTCGCACGCTATGCCATTGCCTTGGGTCGATGGCGAAACCTATCGGCCCTACGTTCTGCACAATCATAATCTGGTCAACACGGGCCAGGTATGGGGTAGTTCTCTGTAAGTTGCCAAAAGCTCCCCTCTTATTAATCGTCTTAGAATAGGCCTGACGGGATACAGGGACCAGGTTTTTTACCTCCTGGAAATTGATCAGGTATTACAACAGCAGAACACGGCCGATCAAGCAACGAAGTCCCATTACCGTGAGAGGATTCTAAAGGTAATTTTTGGATACTTTGTTTGGGTACTACGACATGCCGAACGAAACGGCTTTCCTGAGGGTGTTGTTTTAAGTTTGTCTGGGAAGCGTGCGTCGCTCGCGAAAAATAATGAAACTGGGAAGCTCATCGGGGAGGTGAAGGATGAGGGAGAGGAAGATGTCCTGAACGGACCCGCGGAGAAATCCTGTGAGGCTGAGGTTGGGGACCCTGCAGAACCGGTGGGGGCTCCTAGAGCGAATATGGGTTCAATGGGCCCTAGAGCGGATTCATCCTTGTCTGTTGAGGCACCGGAATCCGCCGGTGGGCCCAAGGAAGTAGGCACGTCTCGCCCTGTAAAAACTGAAGAACCTACCGACTCCTATCCTAAGAGGCCCTTTGAACCAGAGCTATCTGAGTACGAAGATGTGTTCCAGAATTGTTGCCGATTCCTTATTTTGTTGGATAGGTGCTTGACCAACTATCCGAAAGAAAATCCTCTGATCACTGAGATGGTGAAAGCTTTTCTACAGCTAGCTTGGGAGCCAATCGAAATGAGCAAGCATCGAGGATCCGATCTCTGGCCGGATGGGTTAGAGAGCCCTTGGGAGTTCCCCCCGCCGTATGCCCGATTCCTGAACTGGGGAGATTATAAGAATTGTGGCTATGGTGGACAGGATATCTATGTCTATGCTATCACGACTCAAGTTCTTGTCTGGCGGGCGGTTAAGTCTACAAATAGGCTACTTAACCTAGTGTGCAAAGATCAAAAGTGGAGAAAATGGATGGACGACCAAAGTTTAGACGACAAGGCAATTAGGGATCGGGCAATAGAGGCCTTCCACCTCCCTGGGACTGACACGGGTCAAACCCCTGTTCCAGACCGTTTTGTTTCAAAAATTGAAGGCCATGTCAGAGAACCCTTTCCGGAGAATTGGGCTTGCATTATTGCAATTCCATCATTTGTTGAGGATTTCTTCTTCGACAACAATAAACCGATATCTGCTTGGACAGAGACACTTAGATATTACGATAAATACATCGACTCCATCAAGTCACAAACACCAAACACCTGGGAATCCTTTATGCGCTACGAGCTCGCAATTGACAGAGATCGCCGTCAGGAGTTGCGGGAGGGGTTGGAGGCAAGAGCTTACTCGGTTGGGCTTTTTCCTGGTAGACCGGTCGCCCCTGATTCCCATTGTCCTTCTACTACTGCTTGGGAAATAGTTACATATGTGCTCAGTTCGGATCATGCTGAGTTGCCGCATCCTCAGCCCAGAATTCCAAAGTAAGCTGTATCACCAATCTGTGCGGGCTGTTCGGGGGGTTTTTGCCGCAAACTAATGTTTATAACTAAAGGATTATAGAACCCCGGACCCGTGTTGACGGGACACAGGGATCCATGCTCCCACTGGAACGCCGAATGAGCACTAGTACAAATCCTGGCGCAAATATTAGTGCGAGTGTTGGCGAGGAAGGAGGAAATTCGGGAAAAAGAGGGAAGGGCTTAGATATCACTACCGAGGACCGCCATCAGGTGAATGATCCGCCTTGTAAGTGTATTTTAAATTCCCCCGGGATGTAATGTTTATTCTGATCGGAGCAGTGTACGGTGAGCGGTACTTGTTCGAAGATCCTCTCTTTATGAAGCACAAGCCGAAGGGGTTCGAAATGAATAGAGAATATATAGAAATGTTTTTGGGACTGGGAGATGAGAATAGTTGGTGCTGTTTTTGGGAAACTAATAAGGGAAAGGAAAGGTTTTTGGAAAATATTGCAAATATGTCTGATTGTGACTGGGGCAATATCAGAAACGCTGTGATTAAACCATCTAATAAGGGATGGTTCGATAGTGATCACGGACGTAAAGCGTTATTGAAGTTGCAGGAGCAAGTATAAGAAACAATCTCCCTGAATTTGGGGTATCGAGTTACTGACTGCTTGGGGGCAGAGGAATCGCGAAGTGGATAGAAAGAGGATAATGTTTGTACTCATCTATCCACGATGACTGCCTAATGCGCAAATCACAACCCGTCTGACAGTGTGATATAGATTCATGGAGGACTGCAGGATCGAGCATCTAATCTTCCTGATGGCAAACCTAGATTTTCAGGAAGCCGGCCATATAAGTGAATTCCTCTCGCGGCTGCGCCCTATGGATTCTCACGCAATGAGATTCGCCGAGCAGGTATGTCAATCCGCCATCTCCCTCCACGGAATTCTCCTACAATAGTTAACATCTTTGAAGACAATCATGCCGGATAATCTCTGGATCACAGAATTCAACATCAATTTCATCACGGCCCCATTTCATGCTGATGTGGAGTCGCCCCCCCATCCAAACTATTTCCCGAGGAGACGTGAAAGGTTCCTGAGTACGAACGACGTTGCGCAAGAGAGCATCATGGCCGAGGCTGCCATGGGGTTTCGCATTATCGGTGACCTGCATGACCGGTACTGGACATGCTACGTTTTTTGCGACTTCGGGGGCCAAGAACTCATCTCGCATTCTAGGACTCAAGTGACAGAGAGTGGCTATGGCAAGTCTTCGAGTCAAAGAAAGTGCCTTGAAGGGTTTCTTGTGTGCCAGGCTCTTGATCTTGTATTATCCGAGACCAGGACTATCCTCCAGGTTATCACTAAGTCAACTCGGGGAAGCAAAGTAGGTTTATTGATGGGAAAGGTTTTAACGGTATTGTGCATCCGCTAATGAAATGTTTGTTCAAAGGAGAAATCTGGTGCAATTTTCAACCCATTACTCACGGAGGATGATCTCAGTGGGAAGAACTATTTCAAAACCATGAATAAGAATAGTGCATTCTATCCCTGGCTACTTGAAGTTTATGGTGCTCTTCAGGATAAGTGTAACAAGAGCCGCCGCATTGCGGACCAGTGGGTATCAGCAGAAAAGATACGGGAGTACAAGCCCCGGTGGTCCGAAAAGGACCAAAAGAGGCATGGGAAAGAGGTTGCGAAGAACCGAGCTGATGTGAAGGCGCGCTGTACCGAGCTGGAGGAAATGGCGGAGCACCTACAGGAGCGGATCGACCGGATTAAGACTCGTAAGGAATCTGTAGGCATCCCACTATGGCGTGACGATGTCGCATGGGAAGAGGAGCGCTAATAGTGAGATTAGCTGTCTAGTGAGTTAGCGCTTCGAGAAGCGAGAACCTCTACACAACTCGCACACTCGGTGAATCTTTTTACTATTGTCACAATTACTTATTTGCCATTAACGTTCTCTACCGTATGTTTCTGTCTCCTCCCACAAGCTGGTAGCAAGCATATTGACCTAGTGCCCATAGAGTCTGGTTGCTATACAAGACTTCCATTGGTCATCTCCCGCAAAGGCTCTAATCAGAATCGCGCTCCCCGTCACCTTCGGTACCATAATTCTCCTTCTGAACCTCGCATTCCTCCGCCATAACATCGCTGCCCTAAAAACCTGGGCCCAGCGCTCAGTCCGCGAGAGAATGGCCCGAGCTCCCAAACCCAAAGGCTCCAGCAAGGAGCGCGTCTACCAGGAAAATCGGCCTGCCTGGAAATACTGGATAAAGCGGGCCCGAGGCCTCCGCGAAGCGGAAAAACAGAGCACGTTGCTGGCGGACAACACTACCCATGACAATGAGAGCAACTGGTGGTACTGGTACTTTATGGCAATATTCATCGTCGTCGTGGTTCCCGTACAGGAGCTAACCTTCATAATTCGCACGCTCCGGTTGCAGAAGATTGAGAATGCTGGTCCCTTGAAAAAGCTTGTGAGGCTTCCATGGGCCCCCATATGGATTCTGCAGCTGGTACTTGTGTACCTGATTATGCTCGCCGGGTATTCCTTACTCTCCTTGGCGAGCCTGGCCCACCGCACTGCGGTCTGGCTATGGACTGGGGATAACATCACCGAAATTGAGAGGGCCCAGCCGGAGGAGGTTGAGGGAATCTTGGTTCCTGAACAGGAGGGGAACGAAGAGGGTTTGGGGTCCGAGTCGGATAGCATGCAGAAGGATAGAGGGCTCGTTGGCTGGTTGAAGAAACCGGCGAAGACTATGCGGTTCTATATCATTGGAGAGGCGTTCCAGCGCGAAAAACAACAAAAGGAAAAGGAATTTGATCCTGAGAAATAGGGGACCACTATGGAGGCTCCGGCAGTCCCTTCCTCTGATTGAGAAATGGTTGGCTGGGAGTCTGGATGTGGGAGGGGTTTAATGTTTTGAATTTGTTGAATCTGTTAAATTTTTTATCAAGTTATGATATTGTAGGATAAGAGCCGCTGGCCCTACCCCCCCCGACCCCCTACGACATGGGGTGGGGGCGATCGTTCCTTTTTTTCACGGACCAGTGGGGCATTTTGGGCGACGCGTGGCTTCTACGTATCATACTGTGACAGTTTTTATTTTCTCTTTCCGTGTACTATTTGCTCTTTGGGAGTGGTCAGGCTAGCGAGTGATATCATATGATTGAATCTGTATCGAAACGGACGATTTTGAATTTTTATTATTTTACCCACCTACGGGTCCTATGCATCCACTCAATAGACCCCAGATTAGCATCACAGTTCTAATACCAACTAGCTCGAGCCACCAAGACTTTTCAAGACAATAAAAGCCCTGATATTCCGCCTCTAAAATATTTCGAATAATGATACACAATGCGCACAGCCCCCACGTACGCCGAGGGACTATGCGAAGGGCGTTGGAAAGCCGAGGATTGCGGAGGCTTTACTGCCATTACATGTGCCTGGGGAAATCCCGAGGTGATAAGGTCAGCATGATATGAGCCTTGCTACATATAACCCCTCTGGCTGGCTGAGCTAGTCAACCGTTAGCGTGCCGCCTTTATTAACTTCTGAGTTTTCTTAGAAGCTTATAATTGAAGCTGAAGGTATGATATGACAATAAGGGCAAGAAGAAGAGGGGAACCGGTGATACAGCGTTATATCACTAAACTATCCCCTGATTTTTAGCAATACTCTCGATTTTAGATATCACCCTATTGGTTTTTATAGGGATTACTGGCTGGATTTGGTAGTCGCGCTACTCGACCTTTCCCTTGTTGGTGCTGGGGGGTACGGGGGTTAGACTATGTACGAGTGCCACTCTAGACCAAGCACCGGGGGGGGGGGGGATTATAATGGGAAATGCGAGGACGTTGATAGAAAGCTGCGATGATTGGGGTTTTTGGGGTGAATTTATCTTGTGTTTGTGGGTTCAGGAGAAGGTTCTCTGAGTTACTCTTTATTGATTTCCATTGATTTTTATTTGGAATTCAGAATTTGAAGGAAAAGGATGGGAGTTAATACCGGTATGGTATGATATTATTCTTTTTAAACACAATAGTTGAGATTAGGACCAGTCTAAAACATACTCCGTCCACGTATGCGCGATCCCAACATACCTGTGCAGTGCCCCCCGAACCGGCATAGCTCCCGACATGACCCTATCCCCAAATCAGCAATACACCTAATTTTAAGTACTGCGCTGGGGGGATAAAAGTGGGTGGGTTTTATATACCGCTGATAGAAAATGTGACAGACCCAACAAGAATGCTATGATACTGGTTATAGTTGACCTCTAATGATAGAGTAATAAGAGGTAGTATGTATTAAATTGTGGCACCTATGTTCTCAGGTTTTTTAATGTGAACGATATGGTATCGCTGATAAGACAATATGTAGCCTTTCAAAATATAACCCCCGATCGACAAACATTGGTGGTCAAGGTTACTCTGATTTAAGTGCCATCGCATGGAAACTTTGAACACACTAATTTATTCTTATCTTTCGATGGTTCATTGGCCCCAACTCAATTAAGAATCTTTGTAAAATGACGGGGAAGGGCTACATACCTCCGGTACCATAATCCTCCTTACGAATCTTGCCTCCCTCCGCCGTAACATTGCGGACCTAAACAGATGGGCCCACATCCTCCGCAAAGCGGAAAAATGTAGCGTGCTCCTCATGGGCAATGATATTCACGATAATGAAAGCAACTGGTGGTGCCGGTGATTCATGGTCATATTTATCACCACCGCGGCTCTCACACAAGAGCTAACCTTCATAATCCGTACACTCAGAATTCGGAAGATCGGAAATGCTAACCCCTTAAAAATATTTGTGATGGCCCCTAGGCCACTATATAGATTTTGCAGCTGACGCTCTTGAACTTGATCCCACTCGTTGGCTATGCCCTCCTCTCTCTTGCGGGATTGGAACAGTGTACGGCACCCTGGTTGTAGGCTGGAGATGTCATCGCTAAGTGTAAGAAGATTGCCTCTGAGGAGGATAAGAGTTTGATTT